TGGGAGTTGAAGTCCACTCATCTTAAAGTGGCCAAGTTTGGACAACACTGTTGTATGCAGTCTAACTATTTTGTAGAATAACCACTAAAGGTTTTTCCCACTAAAATCATCAGTCCTGATCAGTTTGTTCGAATCATCAACACTATCCTATATTTGTCTTTCTCACGCAACAACTGTGCAAGAGTCTTGTTGCACTTTTGCTCTATTATACTTTGCTATTTTGACTCCCTCTGCACTCCTTTTTTTTAACAAAAAGAGATTTTTAAACATTTGCTTTTAAAACATTTGATGGCAAGAGAATCAGAATAATTTATGCACAGACTTATACATAAATCTGTATCTGTTTAACCTAACATAAGTTTCATTATTATATTTTTGGTGCTTAATCTCTGAACTCATATGATGTATTTTTTCCTTAATTAAAACCTGCCACTTCCATATAATATAGCAGATGGCAGTGACAAAAATGATTATGGGACATGACTTCTGAATATATTACTTTAATTCATATAATATCTAAAATCCTTTATAAATAGCAACAGCTGTCAGATATAAATATGGGAAAAGGAGATCTTAAAGAAGAATGTTTGAGTTTCCATTGTAGAAGTAGGGATAAAGTTATAGTTCAAATGTGTTCTGTGTTCTATGAATTTTCTAAAATCTATATTTTTGTTACTATAAATCTCAACAATATTGCTCTTTAAAGAAGTTGATTGGACTCAAGGTGTTAGTTACATGCACCATTAAGCACGGAGCATGAACATAAAGCACCTTCTGTTCTCTGGCAGTGGTAAACTACTGCTGAAGAGGTTTTTTTCATTTTTTTTTTTTTTTTAATATCAGGAAGAACATATAGCAGTTAGTAGAATTACCTACACATAATTTTTACTTGTTTTCACACTAGACAATCTTACTATTTACCAAATTTCCCCACCCCTTGCATTTTAAAGCATACACTTAAGACTTATTAAAAAGTTAACTAGTCTCTTTCCATGTCTGGTTTTCTTCTTGTCCAGACTTCTCCAAATTAGGTTTCTACTTGTGCAACAGTTACATCATTCTCACATGTCTGTGTTCCAAAGTTCAAGCCATTAATTGGATGACCCCATTACAGTATTTCTAGTTATTTATTGCAGCAAGAGGTATAAAGATGTTTCATTTGTAGTCTGAATATCAAGGACATTGCTGTATATATTTATAAGTGAATCTTGCTGGTTTATTGAATCAGTTAGAAAGGATAATTTAGGTCATTGATTCCAGCCTCTCTCTCAATGCAGAATCCAAATCAAAGCATCTCATACACAGAACTGTCTAGATTTGTTTTGAATGCTTCTAGTGAATGCAAATTCACACCTCTTTGGGAAATGGGTTACCTAGTTGAATTGCTCTTCCTGCCAGAAATGCTTGTTGTGTGTTTGTTATAATGCAATTGGAATTTGACTTCCTGTAACTTAAACCCATTATTTCATGTCCTGCCCACTCACATGAGAGAAAACAGATGTTGATCTTCTAAATTATATTAAGTATTTAAAGATTATTGGCATATTCTCCCATCAATCATCTTTTCTCAAGACAAAGTAAACACAACTTATTCAACCTCTTGTCACATGTCTTTGTTTCTATTTTCTTGATTATCAATAGAAGAGAATATGTGTAGCTCAGGGGTGACCTGTGGAATCCTTGGGGTTCTCTGAGCTTGGTTGTTTTCTTGCAAACGTTTCATTACCTGGCTAGGTAACATCTTCTGTGCACTGGGCCAGGGAATGAGACTTCCCTAGCCAGGGAATTAAACATTTGCAAGAAAACAACCAAGCTCAGAGAACCCCAAGGACTCCACATTTCTTGATCATCTCTGTTGTCCCTTCTCTGAACTTGTTCCAATTTTTTTCTGAATCCTTAAAGTGTGTTGCCCAAAACTAGCCTTAGTACCTGTGAGATCTCACCAGTGCAAATCAAAGCCAGTCTAGTTCACCATTCTCATCCCAAAGTGATTAGCCAGATCCCAACAAGGATGAATATAACAGCATTTTCTCACTCATATTCTCTAGCTTCTAGAATTCAGCAGCATACATAGTCATTGTCTTAGTCGCTGTTAAACTCATACTAATAAATGATTTCAGTCTAAAGCCTCCATGTAGGCAGACATCACTCCATAGAAGTAGCAGTTCTATAACTGGATCATATGAAGTAGCATGTGAATAACTCTTTTTATTTTTCTTGATCCTCCTTCCATTCAGAATTCACTGGATGGCCCAAGTTTTAGTTAGGTTTTTGCCAGAAATGTATTCTGCATTTTTTCAGCCATTGTAATCCAGACTGATGCAAAAGAAATTGTTTTCATACTCCCCACCCTACTTTAAGGAGAAAAGTGTTTTGAAAAAGTTCTCATGGGTGAAATGGGTGAATCTTGCCTTTATAGAGTGGGTCAGAAATGTGTTTCATTGTATAAGCCTCTCTCCAACAGATAAGGGACTGTTTGAGTAAGTCCTGATGGATCTTCACAGTTAGTGTCTGAACTTCACCTTGCCCAATTGTGCAAGTCATTAAACATTTTAAGACACATGAGAACATATGCAAAATAACAACAACAACAACAACAACAACAACAACAATGAGTAAATTTGGAACTTAACACTGAATCTTTCTTTTGCAGTAAAGACGTGTGGATCTAATCTTCAGGGACCAGGCGGCACTTTTACATCCCCCAACTTTCCTTTCCAGTATGATAGTAATGCTCAGTGTGTATGGGTTATCACAGCCATCAATCCAAATAAGGTAAGTTTAACTTTAAGTGTGTTTTAATACCAGTATCAAATAATAAATTAGAAAGTCCATAAGGAATCAGAAACAAAGTTAGAAAGATTAGCTCATTTGAGACAATGTGTGTGTGCATTAGAGCTGTACAGTGTTTTGGATTTAAAGAAAAAGGATACTTTAGAGTACTGATATAACATCTACTGGCAATTTATTAAAGCAACTGCATCTTTTCCCAGAATTGGTCTATTACCCTCCACAACTACAGGATGATCTAAGAAAAAAGAATGCACTTGGTTTTATGAATCAGCAAAAAAGGCTGTTCTCCTAGGCAAACTTAGACTGATGCAGACAATAAGATCTGCAATTACAAGTTTGAGAGCCTTTTTTTGGTGTATTGTAAATCCTGAGGCAGTGATAAGTGCTTGCCATTCCATCAAAGAGCAACCACATTCAAACCGTTCAAGAAAAGTTGTTTGCCTTGTAATCGTGCCAAGTGCTGCAAGTTGCCAGCCAAGAGACTTTGAAGTCAGAAATTTTGAGGGGACTAGTTCAGGACTCTGTAGGTCAGGTACCAGAGACTTTCACAAATGGCTGTCCAAAAGCCAAGACAAAGGTCTGATTACAGGGCAAGGAGCAGGAGGTACTTGGAGCAAGGTGTCCCAGGAACACAGGTCTGGAAGCAGGAGAATTGTTTCCAAAAGGGGAAGGTGATATGGACAATGCTCTTGAATAGCCAGAATCCTTGGTTGTTCTCAGAGGAGTTAATGATCATTCCTCTCAAGGAGCTGGGCCAACCTTCACTGCTCAGTCCTTTTTACCTGACAGTGTGATTTAGGCTTGGCACTTTCATAAGGTCAGGCTCTGATGCCTTACTATCAGAATCTACAGCCATCTCAGACTCATCACTCACAGGTGGATGACAAACCTCTTGAACTACAAGCTAAGAATTCACAACATTCTCCTCTTCATGATCCAAGTTAATGGAGTCAGAAGCACCCATATCAGAAGCACACTCAAACATGCTTTGAAGAACTTTTTTGCCTTCAAATGCAAAGCCCTGCATGTTCAAGTGTTTCAGAAATATTATGATGAACATCTGGGGAATTCTGCAGGATTGGTGTGTCTGAATCCAGGTGGAATTGTGTCACGATGAAATTTTTAATACAGTATGAAATCACTGTTTCTTATGCATTCACTATAGAGCAATTTTGTTGATAATCAAACTTAAATTGTAGACTTACATTTCAATGTATAGTATTTGATTCTATCTTCAGTCCCAATTTCTTTAGCATATGACTAGAGGTAGTAATTCTCCAATAACAGAGACATCTTAAAATTATTAGCATATCCTAGTTTTGTTTCTGTTTATTTTTGCTTTTGTTTTGCTTTAGATACATTCTGGCATCATTCACTAAGATAAGTCTTCTTGCAATGTTCTAGAGGTGATATATTTGGCCCAGGGATAGAATCAGAATTAGATATAGAAACAAAATGGATACAAATGCATGATGATGATGATGATGATGATGATGATGATGATGATGATGATGATGATGTGTATATTCGTGTGTGTGTGTGTGTGTGTTTGTATTTCTAGCATGTTATTTATTTTTAAATGTAAATGTATCTCTACTATTCTTATATAATAGTGTGATTCTTATATAGTAGTTGACTTCCTTCTTTTAGAATGCATGGATATTAATACACCATTATAATTCAGAATGTACCATTATGGGGTTGATTTATGATATTTCAGTTAATATAACAAGATGACAGTTGCTATTTTGTCATTATTCATAGTCTTAGGCATGTTACAATTCTGTAGATGACCTTTTTTCACCCACACCAGCAGTTGTATACTTCATCCTGTCAGAGATCTCATTTAATGATGGCTCTCCTGTTTGCTTATGGACCTGTTATTTTCCCTTTCTTTCTATTTTCTCCCATTGCTTCTGAAATGCTTGTTCAATTTTTGTCTCAAAATACTATAATACTCATTAGGGTTCCTTAATAGATTCTGGATTGGAAAAACATTTTTTCAGATATGATATTTGAAATAGGAACACTATTTATATATTACTTTGGGGAATGTGTAATGTGGTACTCAAAGTTTTGGACTAGGACTACGGACAGCCAGGTTCAACTCATTGGATGACTTTATACCAGTCATTTTCTCTTAGTCCAACAGCTCTTGCAGAAAGGTTGTTACTGACTCCTGGAAGAAAAACAGGATAGGATATGAATCTAATAGATATACCTATCTTTGGAATATCTTGCCCCTGGAGGTGAGATTGGCCCCCTCACTCCTGGCCTTCCAGAAGGATTTAAAGACCTGGCTCTGCCATCTGGCCTGGGGGGGGGGAGGGAAGACATCAGGGGTGGGGATGGCTAGCCCCTTAGAGGCCTGGCATTTGCTACTCTGAACCATCAACCTCCTGGACTCTTTCTTTTTAAGTAATTGTTTTGTACAGGTTTTAGGTTTTATGTAATTGTATATTTATTTATTGTTTTAATGAGGTGTGGGCTGCCGGGAGTCCCGCATAAGGGGGGGATGGGCGGGGATAAAT